TAAAGCCATGAATGAAGCAGGCTGGGCTCTGTCCTCCAGGACCTTCTTCTCCAGCCCTGAGACTAAGCCCAGGATAACAAAGGTTCTAATCCTAAAAGCATTCTGGGAAAACTTGGTAAATCAATCAGTAAGCATTAAAGAAACTTAATACTGTCTATTTGGTTTCTCTTACTTTCTTTTCATGGGAAATTTTTTACAAGAAGGAAACAGAAATGTCCCTCACAGCTCAGAACATGCTGTGAGCTCAGCCCTTCTGCATGAAAGGGCTGACTGACGGTGCTGCCCTCTCCCACCGCCTGCCTCCTATCCTTCCTTCCACTGCCACTTTCTCTCTGAAGCTCCTTGACCTCTCTCCAGCTCCACTTCATGCCTGGCAGAGTTAATTACTGCCTGCTCCAGCTTACCAGGCTATTAGGCTGTAATTATTTGTTCACTCTTCCTCTCTCACCAGCCAGGCTGGAGGCTCACTTTATAAAGACAGACTGTACCTTTCTCCTTTCCCATGCCGGGTGCCTAGCCAGGTCCTAAAAATAGAAATGTGGGGATACGAACAGAGACAAGAGAATCCAAGATCCGGTATTAGAAATCCGTTCTTCCCCATCAGAGTTCTTTGTTCATTTTTTAAGCTTGATACAAGTAAGACACACCGGTCTGCACAAGACACCTGAGTGAGGAGAAACACGTCTTCAGCAAAGCCCTCTACTGCCTCATACACAAGTCCCCAGACAGGAATTTACTGTCTCTTCTCACAGAAGGTCTATGAAAGTGAACTATCAGAATGGGCGCAGATGACCCACTGGTAGTTACCTCATATGGCAACCTACACTTTAATTGGGATTTGTAGTTACAAAATAATGGACTTCAGCAGTGACTGACACACCTTTGTGATAAACAAACTAAAACATCAGCTAGGTATGTCATTGTTTGCATTTACATGAGTTCGGATGCCAAGCTTTCAACTGCGGTCATACACCGTGCCTGGCTTCAGGATCATCCCAGAAGCCATTCCCTTTCCTGTGTACCAATGACTAAGCTGTACATCGATGTGCTAGGACAGGATTCTGGCAATGAGTACAAAGGCAGGGCCACACAAAGATGAGCAGGGGACTGGTGGCTCCAGTCCAGTACCAAGCATGCAAATAGCCTCAACAGCACTCAAGTGCAAACGGTTATGTGTAGGAAGTCCTGCCAGCCCACAATGAATGAGTAACTCAGCATGGAACACATCATCTGGGTGTGTGGTGATGAAGGTAACTGGTGACTAAATCCAAGTCAGATGCAGTCTCCCAGGTCACTCTTCATCACCTCCAAGGATTTACCTACCACAACCTGTCACCAGCTCCATGCCTGGACTCTTAGTTCCAACTCCAGTCTCTCTGCTCTTCGGGTACCTAGTCAAGTCAGCTCAGGATCTCCTCTGTGTGTCTCAGATTCCTCAGACAAAATGTATCACTCTTCCCTCCCCAGAACTTCTCTTCCTTTATTTCACCCTGTTTCCTGAGTCAGAGCCCAGCCTCTAACCTGGCATCTTCCTCTAAGCAGTCACTAAGTCCTGGCAGCCTCAATTCCAGACTACCCTTGAACTGTCACCTCCTTCTCCCTCCATTCAAGCCTGTGTCATCTTTCCTCCTTCAACTGCAGCCATGGAAACTAGTTTATTTACTCTAGACCTTTCCAATTTACCTACTTACGCATAGAACAGGCTACAAACAAAGCACTATGGTTAATGCAATCAATGTGATAAAGTAGCCACTTTATGAAGCATTTGATAAACTAGTACACCTAGCGGCTTACCGACATCTGCCCACTGCGGACCTTTCACTCTGACACCATTATTTTTCTTGTTACTGTAGTAAACTACCTGACAAAACAACTGAAGGAAGGAAGGGCTTATTTTAGCTCACAGTTTGTCTCCATCATGGCAGGAAAATCATGGTATCGGGAAGGTAAGGCAGCTTTGCATCCAAAGAAGGAAGTATGGAGAGACAAATGCTGGTACCCTGACCTCCACATAGGAGTCATGGCACACAAACGCACACACACAAAGTAAATAAATGTAATAAAAAAAGAAAAAGATGTTTTCCAGTAACTAATCCCCCTCCTTTTGTTTTGAGACAGGGTTTCTCTGTGTAGCCTTGGCTGTCCTAAACTTACTCTGTAGACCAAGATGGCCTCAAACTAAGAGATCAGCCTGTCCCTGTCTCCTGAGCACTGGGATTAAAGGTGTGTGCCACCAAGCCCAGCTAATTTCCTCTTTTGACCAGACCATTTTTAAACCCAACTTACTAATGTGTTTCAATCTTGCATAGAAAGAAAAATAACCTAAAAATGCTCAAACCCTCTTCCAATTGTAGATACCACCCCATACCATGTTCTAGGAAACATTTCAGTTGTTTTAACTACCCCTGTAATTCTTCACTTCCATTCTCCTTGAGTCTAAGAAAACCAGGCTTTCACATCTACTCCTGAAGCTGTTCAAGATCACCCAAATCTTCACTCAAACACCACTACCCAATTCACCATTCCCTCCCTTGGAACATCTTAGCATGGCTTTCAGGATTTCACTGTCTTTTGTTTCTTCTCCTACCCCAGTGGCCTTTCTCAGTCTCCTCTGCTCCATACTCATCTTCCTGATGAGGTCCTTTCCTTCAATATAGTCTTTTGGCTTTAAATACCGTTTATATGTCTAGCTTGGCATCCTCCATTCACATACCCAACAGCATAATCAACACTTCTACTTAACTATCCAATAGCCATAGAGAAACCTGATATGCTTAAAACCAACTCTTGAAACCACTAACACAACCTGTTCTTCCCAGACTCCTCTATTGAAAATAATCTGAAATGGGTGTGTTATGGCACAACTGTAATCCTAGAACTCAGGAGGTAGATGCAGAAGATGTATGTCCAAGGTCGGCTTGGACTACACAGGTAGTTCAAGGCCAGCCTCAGCTACAAAAGCAAGATGTGGGGAGGGGAGGACAAAACAAAACCAAAACACATGGTCTGGGTTGGAGAGACCCAACTGCTAACTGCGTAGCAGTTAGGAGTGCTTCTTGCTCTTACAGAAGACCTGAATTTCTTCCCAGCACCCATATCAGTAGCTCACAAACACCTGCAACTCTCCCAGCCTCTGAGGAAACCTGCACCCATGTGCACATACTTACACATACACACATACCTTAAAAAAAGAAGGCTGGGGATAGATTTCAGAGCAGAGCACTTGGCTAACATGCACAAGACCCCATGATAAAGTAACTAAGTAAACAAAAAAATTCAAGCTAAGTCTTCCAAGCTGTTCAAGTACAAATGACTGAGGTCATCACTGACTCCTCCAACACTGCACACTCCATCTATCACCAGGTCCCGCTGGCCCTACCTTAAAATGTAACTTCCACCTGGGCCCAGTTTATCCTGCTATCACTGCAATGGCTTTCTATTCGACCTCTGCCACTTCCAATACACCAGACAGGTGATGCTTTGTCCCTCCACACCTCAAACCATTGAATGGCACTCTGTCTCAGGTTGAAAACCCATGATCGTGTTTGGTTGCTATCCACGGGAAGCCTGCTCTTTTCTGAAAAGAAATGGAGGAGTGGATGGGGTGGGAGGGAGTGACTGGGAGGAGAGCAAACTGCAGTCAGGATGTATGAGAGAATACGTTAAGAAAAACAAACAAAAAACCAGCCTGAGATCTATAGACCCTGGTCATCCTTCATACTTCTCTCCCTCCACCTCCCTCTTGGTCGCTCTAGCTCACCTGAACGGGCTCCCTCCCACTCACTGAACAACCCCACCTGGAATGCGCAGCTACTCACACGGTTCACTCCCTCACATTATTCAGGTTCTTGCTTAATCCTCATCAGTGAGGTATTTGCTGAGTACCCTATTCAGAAGACAATCATCCTCAACCTCTCAGCCTTGATGTGGAGAATTTTTATTTATTCTGCTCATGGCCCTATCCTCAGGGCACATAGGGTGATTCATCACAGGAATAAAATGAAACACTATTTGCTGCTAGAATGTCTTCAGCAGTGCAGACCAGCTGATCCTGTCACAGATCAGTGTCTGTGCAGGGCTAAGTACCCTCAGACTTCAGCAGCATTAAGTTAAACCCTTTGGCTTCCATCTTGTTTTGTTTTTTAAGATACTGGGTTACTTCTAACAAAGCATGTAATACATACTTGTGAGAACTTTCTGAATGGGGCAGGCAAATGTCTGTGAGTTTGGGCCCAGCTTGGTCTAAACAGCAAGTTCCAAGCCAGCTAGGGCTACATAGTGACTTTCTCAAAACAAACACCACCATAATAATTTGTTGTGCAATTAACATGGGGTACTGCAAAACAGTGAAAATTGAATCTGTTAAGAATTGAATCTAAGGCAGGTAAGTGGTGGCACAGACCTCTAATCCCAGTATTCGGGAGGCAGGCAGATCCGTGAGTTCGAGGCCAGCTTGGTCTATAGAGCTGTTCCAGAACAGCCAAGGCTACACAGTGAAACCCTGGCTCAAAAAAAAAGGAAAAAAAAGGAAAAAGAGCCTAAATAAACAACGGGTCAGTTTTAAGTGTATGTTCCAAATGCTGCATGTGACACGCTAAAATTATCTAAAATTCTATGTAAACTGGACATTTATTTTTATTTTTGCTAAATCTGGTAATCCTATTTCAGGAAAACAAACGGCCACTGTCGCGTCTATTTCTAGCAAATGAAAAACGCCAGTAAAGCAGTATATTTCTGGGGCTATCTGAAGCCTGCTGGCTTTTGCGTTCCCGTGGGTGGGTAGTGGGCGGGTTCTGAGGCCCAATGTCTCCGAAATCAAAACCCACGTTGCACAGTGGAAGAAAGGCCCTGACAAGCAGAACCAGCAGGTGTGGCGGTGGCAGCAGAAAGGGGTGAGGTGGGCCGGGACGGGGCAGGATGCGGGGCCGGCTGGCTTTCCCAGCCTCTCGGTCACCTACTCGGCGGAGGCCAAGGCTACACAGCCACTTTCTGGCCCTTACCGATGTTGCCTTCGATGGAGAGCCTTCGGAGACCGCCCCCGGCGTGCATGCCCCTGGCGAGGACCGGCAGAGGCAGGGAACGGAAAGACGCGCGGAGTCGACGCACGAGGGACCGGCCTGCAGCCATCCCACCCAAGCTTAGAGGGGCGGGCACTTCCGCCGAGCGCGCTTCCGCCCGCCGGGAGGCGGCTCGCTGGCGCCGCTGACGTCAGACGACCGGCAGGCAGGAAATGCTTGGTCTAAGCTCGCTAACGCGGGGAGCGGCGGTGGAGTGGGTCGGTGAGGCTGTTCTCGCGATGTTTGCAGCGCTGTGGGCTCTCTCGAAGTTGCTGGGCGGGAGGGATTGCTGAGTGGAGAAGTTCAGGCGATTGTCACCCTTTCGTTTTTTTAATTACATTTATTATTTATGAATGCATATTCATACGTATGTAATTTAATATATGGTGATCTAATTATTAGATACATATTTTTGAGTGTGTGGCGTTCAGAGGACAATTTGAAGGAACGGTTCCCCGTTTTCACTGTGTGGGTCCCTGGGATCAAACTCAGGTCGTCGGGCTTGGTGGCAAGTGACTTTAGAAATTATGGCCTTGGGCATGCTAACCTTTTTATTTTTATAGATAAATCAAAATACGTGGGGAATTGGGGAGACAGCGTAATTGTAAAGTGCTTGCCGAGCATACATAAGGCTCTGGGTTGGATCCGCATACCATAAAAGTTATAATTAAAAATCTTAAACCGCTGGGCGGTAGTGGCGTGTTCCTTTAACCCCCACACTTGGGAGGCAGAGGCAGGCAGAAGGATCTCTGTTATTCGAGGTCAGCCTGGAGTCCCAGGAGAGCCAGTGCTACACAGAGACCCTGACTCAAAACAACACTACACAACTTGATACACTTATTTATTTTGCTATTTTGAGACAAAGGCTCAGGTGGTGCAGTTTGGTGAGATCCTCCTGCCTCCCCCTCCCAAGCGGTGGGATTACGTGTGTGCTCCACCATCCTAGCTATGTATTATTTATGCGGTGGTGACGCACACGTGGAGGTCAGGACATCTTAGAAGACAGTCTTGTCGGAATTAGATGGGAACTGGATTAGGTACTTCTCTTTTTGCTGTGACAGGAGACCTGATGGAAGTGAGTGACGAGAGGAAAGGTAAGTGTTTGCTCCCACTTACTTTGGCTCTTGGTTTCTGAAGGATTTCAGTCCACTATAGTGGGGAAGAAGGGGACCATCAAGCAGAGAGCACAGGCAGAGCAGGAGGTAGACAGGAGTGGCTATACCTTAAGCCCCACCCCTAGAGACAGACCTGCTTCCTCCAGACAGGCCCTAACTCCTAAAAACCCTCAAAATAGTGCCCTAGGCTGAGGACAGAGTCAAAACACTAGCCTGTGAGTGACATTTCAGATTCTAGCCTCAGGGCACCATCCCTCAGCTGGAGGAAGGGCAATCAACAGGCTCCTTAAAGGAACGCCTCTCCAGACTGATTAGCTCCTATAGCTCCTATTGACTGGCGTCAAGAGTCTTTTCGTCCAAGCCTTGGAGCTGGCCAGAGGAAAGTTATGGCAGGTTGTAGAACGAGGTTCACTCCCACTCATCTTGGAGAATGAGGCACTTCCTGCTTCTGAGGTTGTGGGACTTCTGCTGGAGTTAATGCGCAGGGGCTGGTGCTGCCCTGCTAGACACATGTCAGGCAGCTTCCTTTCACTCATCCCACATCTGCTAAGCATCTGCTGTATGTCAGGTTCCCTGCTCAGCTCTCTGAGTGCAGCTCTGAAGGATGGATTACTTGTCTTTTTCTTCTTCTACTTTTTGTTTTGTTTGAGACAGGGTTCCTCTGGGTAGCCTTGGCTGTCCTAGAGTCACTTTGTAGACCAGACTGGTCTCAAACTCACACAGATCCACCTGCCTCTGCCTCCTGGAGTGCTAGGATTAAAAGCGTGAACTGCCACATCGGCTTTCTTCTTCCTTCTTCCTCCTCCTCCTCCTCCTCTTTAAATTTTTCTCTCATATACTACATCCCTACTGAAGTGTTCCCTCCCCACCTCCTGCTCTTCCAGATCCACTCCTCCTCGATTTCCCCTCAGAAAAGGGCAGGCCTCCCAGGGATGTCAACCAAATATGGCATATCAAGCTGCAGTAAGACTAAGCACCTCCCCTCATATTAAGGCTGGGCAAGGTAACCCAGCAGGAAGAAAAGGGTCCCAAAAGCAGGCACAAGAGTCAAAGTCCCCCCACTTCTCCCGGCCAGCTCTTACTGTTAGGCCTCCCACAAGAACACCAAGCTATGCAACCATAACATGTATGCAGAGGGCTCTGACCTAGGGGTCAGACCCTTACAGGCTTCATGAATGTCAGTTCAGTCCCTGTGAGCCCCTATGAGTCCTGGTTAGTTGATTCTGTCGGCCATTTTCTTGTAGTGTCCTTGACCCCTCTGACTTCTACAATTCTTCCTCCTTCTCTTCTGCAAGATACCCTGGACCCTGCCTAATGTTTGCCTGTGGGTCTCTGCATCTGCTTCCATCAGTTTTGGATGAAGCCTCTCTGATGACAGTTATTCTAGGCTCCAGCCAACAAGTATAGCAGATTGTTATCAGGAATCATTTCGTTGAGTTTTCTTTTTAATTACTTAGTTAGCTGGTTGTGTTTGGTGCTATCCTGGGTCTCTGGGCTATCCAACCTCTGGTTCTTGGCCTTCTAGGCAGTGACAGGCGTGGGCTCCCCCTTGTGGCGTGGGTCTCCAAGTTGGACAGTCATTGATTGGCTGCTCCCACAATTATTGTTCAAGTGTTCATAAATGCTGCTGTCAAAATTTAACTGGCCGACAACACATGAAAGACTATGCCATCATTAAAATTTGTGAGACAAATGTCCAAGAAGGTGGCTCTCTTCTGTCGCTTGGACATCTATTTATTGAACACGTGTGGTATGTGTGCATATTCGTGTGTTTATGTATGTTTGCATATGTGTGAGTGCACATATCACAGTATATGTATGGAGTTCAGAGGACAACCTCAAGTGTGGGTTCTTGCCTTCCACCTTGTTCGAGACAGGATCTCTTGTTTACTGCTTTCATGCCAGGCTATCTTGTCTATGGATTCTGAGTACTCTCCTGTCTCAGCTCCCATCTAGTCGTAGGAACACTGGGACTCCAGTGGGTGCGACTGCGTCCAGCTTTGTGTGCGTTCCTGGGATTCGTCTCAGGTCCTTAGACATGCACAGCAAGCGCTTTACCCTCGAGCCATCTTTAGCCTCCTTTCAGATCTTTTCTTATTTTCAAGTCACAGGACCTGTCCTTCTCAACAGCTAACTTGGCATCAGTTAAAATGTAGGACGGAAGACCGGAGAGATGCTCAGCTATTGAGACTGCCTGCTCCATAATCAGGAGGATTGGCATTCACACCCCAGGACCTATGGGGCTTGCTCAGTTTGTAGGCATTCCCACCAACATCTGAAACCATAGCTCCAAGGTAGGTGAAGACATGAGGATTGCTGGGGCTTGCTGGTCTTGAGCCTAGCTGAGAAAGCACAAGCCCCAGGTTTGGGGAGAGGCCCTGTCTCCAAGGAATAGGCAGAAGATGATAGCAGCGGACGTGGGATGCCCTCTCTGGCCTCTGTGCATAGACACAGCATACCCACATGCAAATATCAATAAATAGATTTTATAAACATATAAATAAAGAAATAAAATTAAGGGTTTAAGGAACCGAGGATTGCATTTTTGTGATGTTTTTGAAGTGGAGAAATAGGATTGGGTAAAAGGCAGAGATACTGGTAGTTGGCTGGGTATGGAGGATCGGGAGGGTGAGCCTAGTCAGCCTGCCCACTGCTCCCCCAGGTGAACAGATGGAAGTTCCAGAGCACTGTTCTAGAGTAAGTCAGTCTGTCTGCCCTTGGGTCCTGTGTGTGTGTGTGTGTGTGTGTGTGTGTGTGTGTGTATGGTGTAGTGTGTACTTGTGTGTTGTGTGTGTAGTGTATGCATTTGTGTGTGGTGTGTACATACTCTATGTGTTGTATGCAGTGTGCCCTGAGCTCTGCCGTCCAACAGCCAGCCCCATGGAAAAGGTGCTGAGGAAGCAGAAGGCCGGAGAGCTCCGGTATCCCAGGCTGCACCCTCCGCAGCCCGTGCCAGGCTGGGAGTGTGGATGCTGGCTTTGTGCTTCTGACTTGGCTCTAGATTCTAGAGCAGTGTATGGATTAGAAGCAAGCATCCCTTCAAAGGGCCTTTGCGACCAAGGGGGGCTCCCCCTTTCCTCTTCCGCCTCTTCCCAGCTGCCTACTGGGGCCTCCCCAGAGACCTCTGAAGGAAGTCACCCACAAATCCCAATTTCAGGATCTGCTTTGGGAAATAGATCCTAAGATTGCATTCCTCCAAGGAGTCTAGGAAATATGCTCTCAATCCCACCCACTCCCAGAACTCAAGAGTGGGCTACTTTCCAAGACTTTGAGGTCTCTGCAGTTAGCCAGTGGGCCCCACTGTTTTTAAGTGTGTGTGTTTGCAATGGCTGGGGGCCAGGCTATATTTTCAGAAGCATGGAGGCCAAGACTAGGCTAGGCAGATGAAGAAAAAGACATCTAGCAGAAATGAGCGTCTACTTCTGATACTAACTAGTAGGATGGCCTAGTTACTAGTAAGCTAGCAATGACAAGGGATGATAACTAAATGGAAGGCCAGGGGAGTTAAGGTCTTAGGGAAGACTTCCTAGAATCAGGAAGGCTCAAGTGTATTTGATACCAAAGCTAGTGTTCCTCCTACAGTGCATTTTGTTTTCATACCTTGAACATCGGCAGGAACAAGAACCACCGATCTGGCAAGGTGAGAACCTCGGGCTTATGGAAGCGTAGGTCCTTATCAGTGATGTGAGCATAGTTACACAACTGCCCCTCAGGAGCAGCGTGAGGGTGAGAAATGTGTGAGGGCCCAGTCGCCGCTCTTACAGAGTATCCGAATTTGCTGCCTAGCACTGAGCATCCTTGTCGGGTGGCTCACGTGACTGTTACTGCAGCTCCAGAAGATCCTGTGGTCTTTGCAGGCACCTGCACTCAGATGCACACATACACACACAAACACGTAATTAAAACAGCCACAGAAGGCTGGAGAGATGGCTCAGTGGCTGAGAGCACAGGTTGCTCCTACAGAAAACCCAGAGTCCGTTCCTAGCACCTGGGTGGCTTCTTGAAACCCTCTGTCACTCCAGGCTCAGAGGATGCAGTGCCCTCTGCTGTCTTTCCTGGGTACTGCACACATGCAAAACAGAAATACAGGCAAAACACCCAAACACATAAAACTATCTAACGAGAGGGATGAGGAGGAGAAGTAATAACAATGCCTGAGAATCCCTTAGCATCGCTTGTGAGACACACACAGAAAGGAAGGCTTGAAGGTTTTAATGTTTTGTGGTTGGTTATAGCAGTCTTGAAGGGATCCCCAGAGAAGGGCCTCAAACTTTAGAAGCATTTCCTGTGGACAATGGAAGGCCCAGCCTCATCATACTCCGGCTTGCTGATCCACATCTGCTGGAAGGTGGAGAGAGAAGCCAGGATGGAGCCTCCAATCCAGACTGAGTACTTCCGCTCGGGAGGAGCGATGATCTGCAAAGAGAAAATGTGGCAATTTATGACCAGCCCCCGAAAGAGTGGGTAAGAAATGGGGTACAGTTTTGCATACTGTGGTCTCAGATACTTGGGGGGGGGGATGCTTCAAAACCAGGTGCTCTCATGAGTCCTAAAGAGTTTGAAACCATCCAGATCAACGCAAGATCCCATCTCAAAAATAAAAATACAGAATAAAAATAAGCAAGGAAGATCAGAAATCTTCTCAGCCCACTCCAGAAAAGGGCAGCTTCTGTGATCAGAAAGGAAGGAGAGGGACTGGAGAGGTGACTCACTGGTTAAGAGCATTTGTTGTTCTTACAAAGGACCTGAATTCTGTTCTCCACACCCACATGGCAGCTCACAGCCATATGTAAGCACAGTTCCAGGGGATCTGGATCCTCTGGCCCCCACATAGTGCACATACACACACTCAGGCAAATATACATGCAAAATAAATAAATCTAAAACCAATAAAATAAAAATGGTACATGATTAGATTATCACTTAAAATGTCCCCCATCTCCTCCATAGCGGGTTCCTGTATCCTGTGATTTTGGGCTGGGTTCTGTGTTGCTTTATCCAACAGGATGCTAGCAATCACGACACAAAAAGGAGTGGAGTCAGTTCTCTCCTTTCATGTAGATCCTGGGGAGTCAATCCAAATCTTCAGGCACCGCTCTCTTCTTTTTCTCAAAATAGGGTCTCATTATGTAGCCCTTGGTTGTCCTGGAACTCACTGTGGAGACCAGACTGACTTTGAACTCACAGAGATCTGCCTACCTTTGCCTCCCAAGTGCTGGGATTAAAGGTATGTGCTTCAATGCCTGACTTTTTTTTCTTTCATTTTAGTTTTTAAGCCCTCAAGTCTTTAAAAAATATCTACTAACAGTAAAGTCCACAGAAATCCTTGAGAGATCTTCATGATTGTTTGGAGACCAGAAGCCAGGGGTGTCACCAGGCAACTGGGATCCCTTTCCATCCAGCTCCCTGAGCTCAGGCACCATCGGAGAAGCATCACAGGGGACGCTTCTGTCACAGTGGCCATTAGGTCAGAGCTACATAGCCAAGGTCTAGAGAATGTCCCTGGGAATTTGAAGTGACAGCTAGCCCTGTGGCCATACATTTCCTCTCTAGAACTTGCCATTTCTTTTTCAAGTTGGTGTGTTGTGTGCATGGATATATGTTCACATGTCAGCTTGCATGATTGTGAATGCCAGAGGTAAACACCTGGTATCTCTCTCAGTCTCTCTCCACCTTGATTTCTGAGACACAAGGGCTCTCATGAATGCAGGGTTTGCTGATTCAGCTGGATTGGTCAGCTTTTGAGGTACAGGGATCTGCCTGTGTCTGCCTCCCCAGTGCTGGGATCATAGATGTCCTCCATCCACTGTTGCATGTGGGTGACTCAGGCTCTTGGTAAGTACCCTGATGACTGAGCCATTTCCCAGTCCATCTTCAAGCCATTTTTAAAATGTAATGATACTTTAGTATTGCCACTTTCTTTTCTTAATCTTTTTTTGTATGGTCTGGATTTATTGGCATAAACCTTTAATTCTAGCACTTGGGTGGCAGAGGCAGATCTATATGAATGCAAGGCCAGTCTACATGGTGAATTCCAGACCAGCAAGCCAGCCAGCCAGAGATAAATAGTAGGACATTGTCAAAGAGAGAGAGAGAGAGAAGAAATAAAAGAAAACCATATGTATATGTGTTTTGTATGTTTGCACATGCAACCACCTGTGGAGGCCAGAAGAGCATCAGATCTTATTGGATCTGATGGATCCAATTGGAAGTTCTGGGTACCAAACTTTGGTCCTCTGGAAGAGCAGCAGGTAGTGTGTGTGTGTGTGTGTGTGTGTGTGTGTGTGTGTGTGTGTGTGTGTGACAGAGAGAGAGAGAGAGAGAGAGAGAGAGACAGACAGAGAGAGACAGAGAGAGAGAGCGACAGAGAGAGTCAGTCGTCAGTCTCACTGTATACACTTGTCTGGTCTGAAACTCAGTATATGGGTCAGGCTATCCTGGAATCCACAGAGATCCACCTGCTTCTGCCTCACAAGTTTTCAGACCAAAGGCATGCACCACCATGCCTGACCCAGCAGCAAGTGCTCATAATAGAGGGTCATCTCTCTGACCCCAATCACTCTTTTTCTTTTCTTCAAACTCCTTCAATATCACAACCACCTAAAACGCTTTTAGTGTCTTCTCATATGATATCCATGTGGTTATGGACTTAGCCATGCTAAGCATATCTTTATCCTATCATTGCCCCAAGGACCATCAGACCAGAAGGATAATGATGAAACCAGGGGACCTCCAAACTCCAGGGCCCAGCAGCAGCTCCCATGCAGGCAGGTCTTTGTATACAGTCCAGCAAAAGGGAAGCAGGGTAAGGCCCAACCCACCTTGATCTTCATGGTGCTGGGAGCCAGGGCTGTGATTTCCTTCTGCATCCTATCAGCAATGCCGGGGTACATGGTGGTACCCCCCGAGAGGACATTGTTGGCATACAGATCCTTGCGGATGTCAATGTCACATTTCATGATGGAATTGTATGTTGTCTCATGAATTCCAGCTGACTCCATGCCTGGGGAGGTTACAGAGTTTAGTCAACACCCATGCCTTCAGACACAAAGCTCATATTGGGCTCAGGGCTCACCCTTGTAATTCTAGGCACTTGGGAGGCTGAGGTGGGAAGGTTGAATTCAAGGCTAGCCTGGGTCACAGAGTGGGACCCTGTTTCAAAACCAGACAAAAACGCCAGCAGAAGAATAGCTCCATGACTTTAAAGGATCCTCTTTTACTGCAGCTGCCTGGTTCAGGCCCTTGATCAACTCTCAAGTGGATGGCAAGCTCAGATCACCCTGATGGTCATGGCCCTGCCTTTAGCTTCTCCATGCCTCAGCTGATCTTTCTTGCTGTTTCCCAAGGTATATTTCTGAAGTAGCATGCTTCTTCCTATAACTTTAAAAAGATGTATACTTTTTCATCTACTATAAAGTTAACCCTTTAAAGCATACGGTTCAGGAGTTGTCATACATTCACAGAGTTCGGCAGTTGTCACCACAATATCGTTTTTCAAAGACAAGCTGGCCTTAAATTCACTCTGCAGCTGCAGGTGACCTTGAACTCCTGATCCTCCTGTTCACACAGCCCAAGTACTGGGGTCACATGGGCATATCACCACACCCAACTCTAGAGCATTTTAATGGCCCCAGAGAAACTACAAGGCAATGAGCAGCTATTCCCCATTTTCCCCTTAACACTCAAAAAAGGGCTTCCTTTGTTATCTTTTAGTCCTTGTCATAGCACTGGCTGGTAAGTACATATCACCATTCCATATTTAAAACGTTTGCTATTAGTCTAATTATTTTATTTATGGGTCAGAGTATGGGTTTCCGCATGTGAATACAGTGTCCAAGGAGGTCAGAAGAAGGTGACAGATTTCCTGGAACAAGTGTTACAGGCTGTTAGGAGCTGCTGTGAGGTACTGAGAATTGGGCTCTCTGGAAGGGGTCGTAAATGGTGAACTATCTCTCCAGAACCCCCATTATTTCTGTTTTCATAGAAGAGAAAGCTGCAGCTTGAAGAAGATGGTACATCCAGTGCGATGGTGCTTGGAGGTAGAGAGGGAGAGGTACAGGATCAACAATGAAAGTCAAGCCTGATCCCAGATTCACCTTCTACCCCACTGTCTAGATACAGGCCTCTATGACCTAAATGCTAAGTGATAGAGGAGGGGTCTGCATTGACCCCATTATTATTTCATACTACATTATGTGTCCTGTTTTTCCTTTAAAAATATTTAATTGTATATGTATGTGTCTACATGAGTTTATATGTGTCATGTTCATGCAAGTGCCCATGAAGGCCAGAGAGGGTGTTGGATCCTCAGGAACTGGAGTTACAAGCGGTTGTGAGCTATCATGTGGGTTCTGGAAACTGAACCTGGGTCCTCTGCAAGGACAGTAAATGCTTTTACTCACTAAGAGCACTCCAACTCCATCCTAGTTTTTTTTTCCTTCTTGTTTCTTTTTTTTTTTTCATCTATCTATCTGTCTGTCTGTCTCTCTCTCTATCTATCTGGTCTTTCAAGACAGTTTCTCTGTGTAGCCTTGGCTGTCCTGAACTCACTCTGTAGACCAGGCTGGCCTCAAACTCACAGATCTTCCTGCCTCTGCCTTCAAGTGTGGGGAGTGTTGGTGCTCCACCATGCCACCAGTTCCGTCCTGTTTTATTTTGTCTTGATTTCTTTACTCTCCTATTCAAAATTATGTTTTTATTTACTTGTTTATGCAATGCCGTCCCTTCTGGAGAAAATTTAGGGCAGATAAAAGTAACAAAGTACCCGTGACTCCAGGTGTTTCTCTTCCCAAATCTCATCCACTTCTCTGCTCTGCACCCTTCCATTCTTGCCTCCTCGCTCCAGCACCCTCCACCCTATTTCATCTGCCCTGAACCTCTCCACCTCGTAACCCTCTGCCTTGACCCCTCCACCCTGTAGTTGGAACAGCTCTTTCTGAAACTATCCCTTACCCACAGAAACTGAGCTTTTGCAAGACCTTGCAACTAAGTTAATAATGTGTGTTGAGACGTTTAGAAGTATATGCCGGATCTGCTGTCCTGAACTGTACTGGGCCTTTATGAAAGTGTGTGTGTGTGTGTGTGTGTGTGTGTGTGTGTGTGTGTGTGTGTG